GGGTTCAACAAAGAGGCCAAGCCAGTAAACCAATGAGAAGCCAGAACGGAAAGCAACACATAAAGAAGGGGAAAATCGAGATCTGAGCTTCGAGCATTGCCAACACCCAGTGTCAAGTTTGATCTCGCATTTTCCATCATTATGACCATTAATGATTAATCAACAAACCCTTATTCACTCCCCTTGGAACTCAGAGTTTCAAGTTGTTGGAATCAAAGGGAAATGCTAAGCTTTCCCTTTCGTCCAATCTATCAAAAACAGAGGCAGGAATCCTCCATGCTGCGGATGCTCCAGGAATCCTCCAAACAAGAATATGTGCGTGTTAGGGTGTTTTAAGGTGTTTATTTGCACATGAGAGAAAAGGAAGGATAGGCAAAACCAATGAGATAACATGAAACAACCTCACAGATCAAAACAATTACATTATAAAGTTATATATGCCGATCCTAGGATAATCAGGATACCTTCCACCATCAACGTCATGTAAGTAAGAACATCTCGTTTGTGTGCGTGTATATGTGTGTTGCTAGCTCCGGAAATCGCTATGGTATCCTTTGGTCACTGGAGTTTGATTTCCAGTCCATCGGTGCAAGTTTGGTCAGTATGTGGTAACCAGTCATCGGAGCGAGTGGATTTGGGTGATCGACCCATGGATCCAGCTACAGGTTTGGACGCTTTGGACTGGACGGTGGTGGATGGTCCGTCCGACGTGACGACTGCCAGACCCGGCCCGACCCGGCCCGACCCAACGACCCGGGGCGCACCGAAGAGACAGAACCGGAACCGGATGGGCATGGGCCTTTGAAAAGACCTGTTTTTCTCGTCCAAACCCGGTGGCTTTCAGGTTCCAGTTGGTCCACAGCATACGGATCTGGCCGAATCGAGTTCTCGGACGGCCAGGTGCTCGTGGGCCTCGTCGGCGATGACTTGTTGGGCACCTGCTTGTGGGCTCCAGTGGTGAGCCTGGCGACCGTGCTCGCTTGGCGCGTTTGGACCCAGTTGCACCTGAGGCACCTGCAAAGTGGGTGATTCTTCGGTCAAAGCAAGCTCAAAGCTCCATCGGAACTGCGGACCGTGGGCACCGATGTCCCGGATCTAGGTTTGGTGTCCAGATCGGTAGGACACTCATCCCCACCCCAAGGAAAAAGTGGATTCCATGGGATTCCGAGATGTTGCCACCCAAGGTGCTCAGTCTGTACCACAGAATCCTGCGCCTCGGGGCGCCCGACCGTGGCCCCGGTGTGACGACGACCAGTTCCAATCTGAGCGGTTTGAGTCACAGGACGTTGAGTAAAATAACCCCAGAATCAGAGCATGCGGCCTGCCAGGAGAATTCAATCAGAACTTGTATGTCCGTTCATGTAGACCAGATGTCAGTGGTTCAAGAGTGGCAGCCTTGAGTAAGTCAACATGAAATGAATCGAGCAGTGTCAAGGAATGTCCAGCTGAGAAAAGCAGAGTCGAACTTGAATATGTATCCTATTGCTCGAACTTGTTGAATAGCTCAAAGAGCCTATTGAATATATAACTACCCCAGGTCAAATCGTCCAGAGTCTGTTTTTGTTGCTGCAAGCTACCCGAACCCAGATCACCAAAAGATACCAAAAGTATGTCCAGTTGGGGAGTAAGTAGCTCAGAATAGCCGACGGCAAGCTACTTTAGTAATAATTGCCCCGAGAAACCCGGGTAAAAATATGTTGAAAGTGGCGTCGGGTATTCTCATTGAGGCCTTTTAAGAATCTGAGCCTCATCCATTGTCCAACAGCTCAGCATGGCAAATAGCTACATTTAACCAATTGAAATCAATTGAAGAAATACATTTGATGGTGGTTTCTGGTGAAACTCTGTTTTGCTTGTAGACCTTCCGTTCTTGGGGTATAAACACAAATGCAAACACCCTTGCCTTTGTAGAAAGGGTGTTCTTGTGCACAAGATGTGCCAACATCTTGCCCTTGGTCTCCGTTTTGCAGGCATTCTAGCGCATAGCCTGTTCCCACACACCAACATGACCTGTGGCGGAGATTTGCTTGTTTGAAGTCAAGGGCTTCCAGAAGACTCGACGTCGCTTTGACCCAAGCCGTCTCTTCAATTTTCCATGGTCTCACCAAACCCATTCAACGCACTTATTGCCGGAGGGACTGCAGAATGTGATGTTGGACATTGCCGTACCACTCTTTGCATCTCCCACTTCTTTTCTGTGTGTGTGCTTTCTTTTTTGTGTATTACTAACAACAAAAACAACTTTGCGGATTTTACAGCCATGTTCTGCAGCTCATGTAGTTAGACTTTTAACTCTTAACTGATATTAAATACACCTCCTTCGCGGCTGTTTTTTTGGAGCTTTCCAAGGAAGTCTCCGCATGCCGAGCTGAGCTGAAAAATCACAGTGTTGAAGCGAACAGATCGTGGCCGCGTGTTTTGAGTGTTTGACCAGCCGCGTTTGGTGGTAGGAAGAGAACAAAGCTGGAAGAAACTAGCTTGGCTTTGGAGCGCTGCGATTCAAGATATGTTGAAACTATGGGTGCTATAGGAAACAAATTGAAAAGGCAATGGTAGAAGCTCGAATGTTGGGCTGGTGATGAATGCTAGTTACTGAGGCGTCCGGTTCATTATTCTCTTAGGTTCCTCTCATCAAATGACAACTTCAAGAAACGACAAAGACGCACATCATATCATTGTTTCCTCGCCTGTCAGGTGAGGGTCTCTAGATCTCATGTCAGTGTTCCCACCTTCCTTTCCTCCTTCCCTTTCGCCTTTAATGCCAGAACAAGTGTGAGAATAACATCATGACAGGACGTATGGATGGCAGAAGATATGTCAGAACATGTCAGAAATACAGGGCATGACACAGACCAGAACATTTCCCAGCCTTTTTGCTAGATGATGTGTCAGAAGACATACCAGACGATCCAAGTAAAGTAATTTCAGTCAGTGCATTTGTTTGACAGGTTCCTTGCTTTGCTTCACTTGAGTGCGCCTCGCAGTGTTTTACAGCTCCCGCAAAAGGGTGCATGTTAAGTAGACACCTTTTAGCAGAATCTCGATGACGCAAGCTTTTCTTGAACAAGTCCCCATCAGGCAATTTCACCACTTCCCTTGCCATGGCACCTCACCTACTGCACCAGATGCAGCATTCTCCAATCCACCCCAAAGAGCAAGGAGTGGTGGCGGAATGCGATCCAGCCTGCGCGTGGAAACTGCCAATTTACGATGCCGCCAGCAACTTGGATTCTTCGATATCTGTTTCACCCCTCTCAGGCGCGTTCAGGCATAAGCTTGGCAAAGGTCTTTTGTTCAACATATTTAATCTTTTTTGGTCAAGCGTGATGACTATCATATCTGGCGGCGGATCAATAGACTAATGCCCCAAAACCAAGTTGACGGCCATTCTGTTCATTTGGGGGTTCAGCCAGGATCTAGGGGTTTTAATCCACCACCAGATTAACAACAATTCACCAACTTACAGCTGACTGTACATTGTGATGCTTTGCATTGCCGCGCAGACCTGCTACTCTTGAAAGACAGGAGACTGGCAGCACTCGTGTCTGAGGTGAAATATCCAAGATGAATCTAAACGACCCAGAGCTGATGCGAGCGACCGTACCATCCAAAGCTTTGCGTTTCTTCGGCCGGGCATTGAGGGAGAGGATCTTCGACCGGGATCTATATCACTTGAGTTCCACCACAGAAAAGGCGCAAGGGCTCCTCAAGAGCGTTTTGAGGTATCACATATTATCACATATGTATTTGATTTGCGTTCAATTTGAGTGCAGAACAGTGAACATGGACAACGTTATTGAATGTTGTTGTTCAGCAGCTTTGAAGTGGAGGTGAATTGCTTTTGGAGCCATTCATGGCATGCAACCGCTTGGACGAAGATTTTAATGCTCTTAGTCTTTTACAATGGTCGTGCTGCCGTTGGGGCGGGGATGTGTGCAGCCCTATTGGGGATGACTTTATTTGGTTTGGGACTACTCCCAGGATATCCAAAGGTCTTTCCCGTGGAACGTGCAACATATGTCTTCGGTCCATGGGGACTAGTTGCTGGGTGCCTTGGAACGCTCCTGGTGCTTCTTCTTTGGCAGCCCGGGTCGAAGTCGCAAGTCTTCTTGGACCGGATTTGCATTCATCAGAGAGACCAAAAGCTCAAATCCGCCGGAATCCAGGGCATTGGCGGAATTTTGAAGCATTCGGAAAGCATGCTGGTCCTGTTTGAGCCAACCTACACTACAAGGCACCGGGTTGTTGCAACCGGTTCTGCTGTGCATGTGTTGTGACAAGGTCGCTGCTGGCCAAGAAACTGTGCATGTCACATGTCACCGTGATTTTGCCCCATGAGCAAAAAGGTTATTGCAGTGTTGAATCTATTCTACCATGTCACCCATGATGAAAACCAGAGTTTTTCAAGAAGGCAGAGTTATTCACGTCATGTGGTTCCAGGCTTTGGACCATCTTCGAGATTGCCGGTTTTCTGAAGAGTCATGGAGATCGTGCTGGATTATCTTCCTGCTTGATCATCCTGCCTACCTTTTTGGGTCCAACGGCGGTGGCAATCTTTCTTTCTGCGACGATGATCAACATGAGTATCTAGTCTCTTCAGCAGGCATGTGTTCATGTGTTTTTGGTGTTTGATTTATCAACCACCAGCCACTAGAAACCAGATTCTCACCAACCGCCAATTTGCGTTTCAGAAGAAGTGCTTAATCAAAGCAAGGTGTAGTTTTCGACTACGGTGGACGGATGCAGACAATTCTTGCTGTAACATGTGTGGTGTTCTGTGTTTGCGCCAACGGCATTCATTGGCTGCGCGGCTACTTCCGATGGATCGATGAATGCTGCAGTCAGCTGCAAAACTTCTCGATGGAGAAAGCCCATTCTCACTGCTGCAAGTCCAATCACGTGAATGAAGAGGGCAGCCAAATCATGTGTGACAGGAAGATCATCTCTGAGTGCATTTGCTTGTGGTTCGGAAGCGAAGAGGCCTTTGAATCCTGTGTGAGGTCTGATGTGGCCACTGTTCTCATAGAAGGAGTCTCGGATTTGCTTGTAATGTGTTTGATTTGTGTCAAGCAGCGGCTGGGGAGCGGAATGGAAGGATTTGTGTCAAGCTACTTCTTCACTGAGAGAGTTGTTGATTTGGTGGCTGAGTTGTTGATTTTAAGCATTCTCATGGCAAGTTGGCCTCGTTGAAGCCATCAACGAGGAAGCTTCCAGGTGTGACTTACACCTTGGACTTTTTCACCATGGTGCAATGTAAATCCTATGTATCACTGGTAGAACGGTCAATCGGACCCCCAAAATGCATCAAAAACGCCGTGGTTGTTGAGACCTCGCAAGAATGAGACCAAAAAATCTCCAGAAGCGAACCTTCGCACTGTCCGAAAAAGAACCTTCGCGTTCGAACGTGTTTGGAGCGACGCGAGTTCGCGTCATTTTGGTAAACCACACATCCGGGAAGCCGAGCGCCGTGAATGAAAAGGAAGAATAGGAGTGAAGGTCGATTTGAAATGACAAAGGCACGACTTAGAACATGAATCATCGCTACGCAGCTTACGAGGAGAAGCACACGTGCAAAGGTTGGCACGCTTTGCACTAAGGTTTGCGACGGCACACGTTCACTTTCAGATGGCTGGCGTCTAGGTTTGCCTGAGTTGTGTGTATTTATATATATATATAAATATATAAGAATTTATTATATATGATTATGTAATTTATGAGTTATGTGTGTTCAAAGATCCGTTTGGCAGGGGAGTCGGAATTTCATAGATCAGGGTTGAGATGTTGAGCTGGTTTGGGCAATTGCAGGAAGGAGAGTTGTATCTAACCCAGATTGGTTAATAATTGATCAACCTCTCATGAAACATGCTGTTCACCTTTCAAGCTGTGCATTTGGGGCAAAAAGTCGCCCAAATGTCTGGCATCCCTCGCAGCCCTCGCATTTGGCCCTTTTCGGGACTGGCGTGATCGATCTCGCCGAACTCACAAAGAAGGGACTGGAAACACATATTTGAAGCAACCAGTATACCCGAATAGTGTGCTTTTTGACAACTAAAGGCTGAAGCCTGTTAAAATCCAACATGAAGCAAAGATCCAAGGTGGCTGTGAGCATGCCCACGAGTTGGGTGTGCGGAGACTTGTTGGTGGCGCGCCTCCGAGTCGGGGAGTTCTACTTCTCGGCGGTCGCAGCCATCGTGGCTCTGGCGCAGCTCGAAGGATCAGCATGTGCATCATTTTGAGAGTAGATGGCACAATCCTCAAATGGTGTAGTTTAATGTGTTTTCTTTAATATTGACCCAACCCCCATCTAACACTAAAAGGCATCTTCCGGGCTGTGCCATCTACTCTGAAGTCGCTGTATATGAAGGGACATATTTGTGCAATGATGGCTACGTAATATCATAACATTCAATGTGTTGTGCCCCTGTTTCCCATCCCAACTGGTTCAGTAAGGAGTCCGACGGGGATCCGCGAAACTACTATATACATGTTGCTTACTTATATATATATATACCCTGGGAGTCAAAGACGATACAAAGAATGGTCTTTAGGGGACCTGAAAGGGAACTTCCTTTACTTCAGCCGGTCAAATTATAGTCGTTGGACTTCTAGGGTACATATATATATATAATATATAGGTGTGCCTACTCAATTTGGTAGGTTTTCTTCAGCTTGTTGTGCACTCACCGGTATTTATATATATATATATATGTGTTTTGAGTTCCCCGCGATCGATCTTGTTCGGAAACCATGTTTCATGAGATCTGATCAAAGAAACGAGGGAAGCCTCCATCAGCAATACACAATACACGGATCCGTGGAGATCCCTGGAGATCATGATTGCATGGAGATTGACTTCTTTTCTGACAGGCGAAACGCCACATCGGCGACGCCCAACTCCGGGGGGGACCGCGCGTACGTTCACAACGGCCCCCACCCATGCTGGAACTGATCTCTTCTTTCGAGCACAACTCGTGCAAAGGCTTTGCAGCAAAGACATTAATAGTGGGCGGGGGACAAATAGATGTTGGGCACGATGCACAAGAATGTAGTACGAGGTTTATGCTATGCTATGTATTGCTATAGGAGTTGAGGTGTAGCGGGAACATCATAGCATACCCAGAAACAACACCGCTTATCAGATTGTTTGTAGGAACCGCCACAGGACTCACGACTGGACTCACCGGTCAGTGCCTAGGTGGTGGTTCGGCCTCATCCCCTTGTGCGCCCTTTTGTGCCTCATGGTGTCTTCGAATCCCCGCTGCTTGACCGCTCTGGGGTAGGACTCGATCATTGGTGGGCTGTTGTATGGGCTGATTTGAACGTTTGCGGCCTATAGACATATGGTGGTCGTTCATGAGCCCCAAAGACTTGATGTCAACGTGCATGAAACGCTCTTCTAAAAAACAAGAGGTCGACTGGTGTTCATGGAGACCTTATAGACGACTGGTACAGTGGATCCACGAACTCGTGATTTGAAGTAGAGCTAGTGGTCATATTCATTGCTATTTGCTCGATGAACTTCACACACACATGAAGCTGGGGCAAAAAAGGGTAGCAGGTTTGAGATTGCCAGAGACATACCCATCAAAACAGTTCTCTCCAACTTGTTCCCTTCTCCAAGATGCTTCCATTTTTTTTGGAGAACTCCCGTGCTCGGGACTTCCCGTGCCGGTCCGGTGGAGGTCCGCCGTTGTGGCTCGATCCAAGGCCAGAGGAAGAATCAATGCATGGACCACATGGTCACAGTGTTGGGGGGCCAGCTTGGTAGTGGCTGATCTGCAGAGAATACAAGCCCACACAAGCCCACACTGATCGGCCACACCCTGAAGAGGGTGAGGATTTTTGGTTGCTCTTCAATTCTTGTTGCAAGACTGTGGTCCACCGGCAAGCTCGGCTCGCGTCCTCGGCTCCCACCAGTCCGAGCGCAGGTGGTGTTGGTGTTGCCTCTCTACCTCATCCGTATAGTGCCTTTGGTGGCATCTTCGCGAACCGAAGTGGTCCAACCCGCAGGCGAGAGACCCTTCGGTGAAGCTAGGCACTGATGTTTCTGCGGCGATGGTCCGGTGCTTTCCTGAGAAAACCTGGTTGAGGCGACAGCTCGACGATTTCTGACCAATCACCAGTTCTCACTGCAGGTTCTTTTTACAGGTTGCAGTGCTACATGATTTAATGTATTACTATATGTGTTGATTAGATTTAGAACCAATCTCCGCCTCAAGGTGGCATCAAACTCCACGGAGGAAGGTTTCTCCCATCTCGGGCCTCATGTTCTTGGTGATGTTTGTTTGGTTTTCTGTTAAGGGTGGACCTGTACATTAGCTGCTCCACCTCACACTGCCCAGGTGCTTGTGAACCTCATGGGTGACGACTTGATCGCCACTTGCTTGTGGGGCTTGCTCGTGAGTTTGGCCACCCTGCTCGCTTGGCGGGTTTGGGCCAAGTGGCATTTGAGTCACCTGTCGATCAGGTGAGTGATTGTTCTATGGGTCAAAGCATGTCGCTGAGTCCAGACACTCAGCCTACTAAGCTAGCTAGTTCAAAACGAGGACGAAACCTGCGTAGCCATGGCTTGAACGTGAGTGCCTAGACTGAACCGGTAGAATCAAACAGCGCCTTTCGAACAGCGCTCACCTCAGTCATGGGTTCACCACCCTCAAGTTTCTGTATGCGGTTGTTTTCACCACACAAAGTCACAGGAGCAAAAGACTCTATAGTCTATCGCTCTTTTCCCTGCCAATGTTTGCCAGGGGCGAGGAGTCAACACATGAGTGCAGAATAGATACGATCACTGTAACATATTGCAGCTCAGAATAGCCCTGGCTTCTCTCCCCATTTGTTCTACTTTCTCTCCTGCGGATGTCACAACAACACCGTGGCTCGAAATGGTATAAAATGGATTAAAATGGTAGTTTCTCATGCAGGGCTGCTCCAGTTGGCTGACCATGTCATGTTCTCCAAGAATTTGTTCCTTTGGGGGCAATTTCGGGGGAGTTCGAAGGAACAGTGTCATGACCAATGACATGCGCACTTTTGACCCATTTGCTGTTTGCCCACCTCAGCGGCCACACAGCTTCTTTTAACTTTTAAACAACGTGTCTTTGTCCGTGATTTGAAGCATGTGGAGTTGTCATGCACGAGGGGCGGAAGAAAAAGGATGGCCAGGAAATTGACATAGCACCTGACCAGAATTTCTGCTGCTGTCATGGGTCTCCATTCGCAAGCAATTTGTGGCCATGTTCTGCAGCTGCCCGTGGAAATCAGCTCCTACATGTGGGCATTTTGTTCGGCTACTTTGAAGGAGGCTTTCAAAGAAAATCTTCGCACGTTGAAACCCTGTCGCAAGAATTCACATGGGCAAAGCCCGTTAGACGAGAGTGGCAGTGCGTTTCGTCGGGCACGTTGGATTCGGAAAAGTGAAGCGCGACACCGGTCGGGCACGCGTGCCAGTTTCGGCAATATGAGTTGGCTGGTGAATTGTCGCACCGTTTCGTGTTCAATCATAGTGAGATGTTTTCTTTTGTTTATGTGTGTGTGGTGTTTCTTAAATCATTGCTACTTCTTTTGGACACATTTTAATCCAACGTATACATACAATACATATATGCAGGTGGTGAAACAATTCATTGATTGCCTCTACTGAGGCCCACCGAAGCTCACCTTAGGCTGGGCACGTGCCACCCGAAGAGCTTTGACCGGTGAGGATCAATCAAGTAGATACTCAAGTAGATATACGGACCAAGAAATCAAGCACAAAGGACAAGATATGGCCTTGTTTTTTGCTTGATGAAGTATAAAGTTCTGCTCCCGAGAAACATGTCTTTAGCATGTGTATTCTGTGAGAAGCATGCCCCATTACTAGACTCAAAAACCCACGGTTTTCCACAGCACGTGATACTTTGCGCAATTTTGGCACATTACATTGCATTACTGTGCACCACAGACGTTTCAGCAACCCAAACCACTGCAAAACGGTTTTTGCGGCAAAAGCAACTGTAAGGTAACAGAGGCATATTGTGGTTTGCCGTGGGATTTTTTTGTGGAATGTGAACCGGACACCACTGTTGAACATGATCGAAGAATAGAAGCAATGGAGGATCTCTTTTACTTTGTAACCTTCTAGTGGGCAATGGGCAATGGAACTGCTGGATTGGTGCTGGTTGGCTGAATGGTTTCTTTTTATCAGCTAGTTGTAGAACGGGCAAAATGTTCAAGTCCTGGAACATCTCAACCGATCTTAACACATCTTAACACAAAGATACGAAATCCCCTTCCGCATATCAATCAATTAAAGCCATCAGAACAATTTGTTTGCAAATGGTTTTAGGATGTTTTAGGAACGTATAGGAAAGTCTTTTTGTTCCGGAGAGGTAAACAACTGGCTAGATCCTTACCGTCCTAAGTTCTTGATTTGTGACTGCTGACATCATTGAGCGGGTGACATGTTCAACGTGGTTGGCAACCAACTAGAAATAAGTATGGCTCAAACATTGATTCAAGACTAACTATGTCATACTATGTCCATGCACACATAAAACCGGGAACAGATGAGAATAACAGTTTCAGAAGCGTCTTCTTCCCGCCAGACAGTGGCTTTTGAATTCCGGAAGCTTCAGTTGTTTTGCTCGGATTTCTCTAAAGACATCTCTCGTTGTCCCTGGCCTGGATTGTTTTGAAGCACTACCTGGACTTCCTCAAACATTTGTTCACCTGCGCAGGGGTGATTTCGGTGCCAAAAAGATTAAGCTTTGGTTGCCAGCGAAACCACAGGGTCAGTCAAAGGATGGGCGTAATGAATTGACTCGCGCAAATGATCCTGGATTATCCGAAAGAAGAGATTGACCTATGGCATCAGGGTCATTCGTATTCGTGCATTGCACTTGGATCATGGCGGTAGATGTGACCATTCTCCGTTCGTTGACGCCGCCGTTGCGCCGTTCAACGCCGTTGACCCGTTCGTTGCGTCATCCGGGAGAGACGTGAACACAGTGGCCAGCACCTTTCACCAAGCCCTACAGGTGGGCGAAGAAACGATAATAGGAATTGATGCCTAAAGATCTTTAAAGCAATGAGTTCAAGATAGCCCATTCTTCTATCCTACCACATGGCTGATGAGACAATGATAACTTGACCCGGACTTTGCATCGCTTGGGCCAGGAAAGATGTTTTCACTGTCTGGTGCGGGCCCTGACGCTCTCATCCATGCAACAAGACTGGGCAGAGGTGTTATCAAATCTGGGCATGAGCCAGAATCCTGGGGACCACAGCTTGACACATATCAGCAAAAATATCCGACATCTCTCCATCGGCTACAAGCAGAGATTCCGGAAAGAAATGAAAGAGATAGCACCCATCAACTTGCTCAGAGAAGTTCTGAGACATTGTGACCCAAGGTTGGCAGCCAATGTGTTGGAACACAGCCATCGTTTCTTTGTGGGTCCCTTGCGTCCAGGTCCAATCTGTTTCACAGGCCTTCCTCTCTTGAAACCTAGAAACCTTGCTTTGAGCTGGAGTTCTATTGTATCCATCCTAAGTATGAGTTATTTTTGTTGTTTTCTATCAGCCTATCACAATGTTGATATCTCCAAGAATTCAACTTCGCAGTGATCAACTTCGCAGTGACTGGCTACCACCCTTTTCTTCAAGAACTGGGTTTCTCGAGCAGCTTACGTCAGGATTGGATTTCAATCCCATCATGGCCCCGTTGGCGATCTTGGCCGCCGGGGCTCCTCAGAGAGTGTGTGGCAGACCAATGAACATCCAGTTTTGCCTTGCGCCGCTATGCAAGAGATCCGACGTGTAGGTAGTGGTACGAAAGACGTGCCTTGTTGGTACATTGAGCAGTTGATTCTGTATATTGCACGTTTCATTTTATACTTTGCCAGTGTTTGGCCGCCTGGAAGCAACTTGCGTTCACGTCCTCCACAAACCGAATAGAAGAGGTGATCACCGAGATTGTGTATATAATTAGTCGTCGCTATTTATAACTATTGAGCAACAGACATGTGCTGCTGCTTTGCTTTCGTCCATGGGGTTTATTTCATGCATTTCACACTGTGCATGAGGCCTGGTTGAAGCTCATATCAGCCCATTTATTTCCGTTTTTCCAAGGCTGTTGCAGATGTTTCATTCATTCAGGAGCTGTTAGCATTGACGCCAGAGTTGGCAGGCTTACAGTGTATATATATATATATGTGTGTTGGGTTTGTCCTGTTCCTGTAACAGTTAGTAAGCAATTATCACATATTATCACTAGGTTTGATTGGTATTGAACAAGGCCTTTTGCTCACCATCATTTTCCACTAGCTGTTACTTGGTATTGTCCCAAAGTATTATGGTGGATATTGATTGGACCACCGAACGCTTCGGAAAGCGCTCCGGCCGGTGGACCGAACGATGGGCGCTCCGCAGGCATTGGCTTTGCTCAGCAAGTACCGGATCTTCAAAGCACGACTTTGGCCCCCCACTCTCAGGCTCGGCCACAAGGGAGTAGCGAAGGTGAGAGAATCGAGTAGCGAGTAGCAAACGAGCAACGAGCAACCGGATGACTGGATGTGGCGTTCGAGTCCGATGTGGCGAGAGCTCAAAGTCTTTTCACGGTGAGCAGTGAGCAGTGGATCGTACGTTCTTTGAACGCTATATATATAATTATATATATATAACGCTATAGTATATAGTATAGACAAAACATGATTTAAAAAAAACATAAGTGAACTTGAACCAGAACTGGAGGAGGAAATTTGGGACTGACTTCAGC